TTATCATCATCATCAGTTTCTGGTACAAAATCATGTGAGAGAGTATTTTGAATAAATAAATTGTTCTTTGATTTTTTTGCAAGTCTAGCTTCTTTAAGTTGAGAATTTCTTTTTTTTGGTGGCATAATTAATTTAATTAAGACAAATAATTTTTATAAATATTTTTGACGCGGTGATTTTTTTACATCTATACAAGACCAAATTTAGAAATGATAATCGTAGATCATCCTAAATTTAGACAATCGTGTTACTGCCAAATCATCTTGAACATAGTAAAATACATGTACTAAAAAGGAATAGAACACGATAACCAATCAATATTTTGAAAAAATCTCTCTGTTACGATAAAGTTTGAGTCTCAATCTATGCAATAACAGAGTTATTTTTAAAAAAGGATCAACAGAAACGGACTTCTATTCTTTCAAAAATCACGTGCAAAAATGGTGGTTATAGGCTTCGCGCACCATAGTGAGTGACACTTGACCCCCTGTAGAACTGCAATGTCCTGCGATTGTTATATTTAGACAAACATTATTGATCCCTGAAATTCTTGGTAATACCAATGCTCACTTTGTCTGGTTTGTTGCAGCATTCCCATATAATATAAGTAATGATGATTATTTAACAATTTAACATTGTATAAATCTATCATCTCGCACATCGCGAGGTCCATACTAACACTAAAAACTTCCCAATATTAATGTATGGATTGCAGATTGGTAAAAAAATAATTTCGTTTTTTCTATTTACCTGGATTAATAAAGATTACGCGTTCATTGATATATAGATCATTAAAAAAAAGTTCATCTGGTAGTAGTAAAGGTGATGGTATATATATTTGGAATGTTATTATTGTCATTATTATTTTTGTATAAATAAATGGAAAGCCAAATATAAATTGGAATGATGTAGTTGGTTTAGTCACTGTCAAAAATGTATCAGAAGAAGGTATGGTATTTCCAATTAGTTCTGAAATGACTAGAGTTACAAATGAAATATTCACTAAATTACAAAGAAATAAAATATAAATATTGATTTCTGCATGCAGAAATTATTATTATTATATACAGTGTATTATTTTTTAATTAAATGTGTAAATTAAATTCATTTTGATTGGAATCTATAAACATTAATTATAATATAAATTAGTACTGATATCAAATTTAAAATTAAATAATGAAATTAAATAATCAATTACCATTATAATTTCCAATAATTGTGACTTTTCTAGAATTTATAGGTTGTGGCAGATTTGTAAATTTCAATAGTCTGCTAGTGTAAATAGCATTTGGATGCACAGTTGCTTCAATTGTTGAAAGATAAAATTCAATCATATCCATTTCATTAAACTCTTCTTCGTGACAAAAACCTATTATAATATCTTCAATTCCATCAACAGTTGGACGTTTATCTGGATTAGCATCCATACATTTATAGGCCAAGTCAATATAATTTTTTGGTGTATTAATTGAGAACCCAGGTCTTACTCCTTCACAAATCTTGATTGCAAGATAACTATCATGTGGAATATTATTGAATGGTTGTTGACCTGTTGACACAACTGACATCAGAACTCCAAAACTATAAATGTCTGATGCCATTATGTAAGGTTTACCATTTAAAGCTTCTGGTGCTACATATGGTAATACCCCAAATAGGTTGTTTTTATTTGAAGTTGCTGATGCTTGATCAGCTGAAATTGATAATCCCAAGTCTGCAATATATGTGTTATCATGATAACTACTATGAAGAATATTTCCAGCATGAAGATCACAATGAATGATATTTTGTTCATGAATATCTTTTAAACCTTTGATAATATTTAAAAGAATTCCAATTTTATCTTTCCATTTTAAGTTTTTAAATTCTTTTGTTAAATAATCGAGAAGATTTCCTTCTTTTATATATTCCATTACAAATATATATTCTTTGGTAATTGGATCTTGTGTCAATCCAAAAACATGAATTATGAAATCATTTTGATGAAATTTAATGTTATTTTTGAGCTAAAATAAAAGATTAAATAAAGTAATTAGTTAGAATCAATCAATCAATTTTTTTGTTTTTAAATTCAAATACTTGAAAGTGATGATGATGATGATGATGATAATAATAATGATTAACCTCATTTAAAAACATATCAGTATTTTGAGAATTATGTAATTTTTTTAATGCTACGATCCTATTTTTACAACATCTTTTATTTTCTTGAAAATCTACATATTTATTACCATTTAACCAAGTAGCTTTATAAACAGTTGCAAATCCTCCTTCACCAATTATTTCAAGTTCATTTAATTTATAATAATGAATCCATTGAAGGTAATATTCATTATCATAAAATTTTGCTATGAGCTGTGTACTTTTAATTAACTCATCAATTGTTTTGGTACCACTGGTCCATCCTTCAGTTAATAAGTATGGATCACATGATTGGCACCATGAATCACTAGTATTATATCTATTACAAGTCAAACAATTACCAAATATCCCATTTCTTTCATTTGAATATATATCATCATTTCTGTTGATAGACATATAATTACGAAATATGCCCTTGAATGAAGGTCCTCCTTTATCCAATAATTCTTTTATTAAAAAATTTTGAAGTTGTCCATCTTTTAAATAACTCATTACAAATATATAATCTTTTTTGATTGGTTCTTGTGTTAATCCAAACATATGAATTATATTACTAATTTGGTAATTTTTGAACTAAAAAAATAAATCATAAAGAAAATATTAGTTTAATAGCAATAATAATGATTTTTTTAAACAAAAATCCAAAAAAAAAAATCATAAAACATTCACTTCGTTTAAAAATTCATTATAAATATTTTGAGAATTATTTAATTTTTTTAATGCTACAGTCCTATTTTTGCGACATCTTTTATTTTCTTGATAATCTACATATTTATAACCATTAACCCATTTAGCTTTATATATAGTTGCAAAGTCACTTTCACCAATCTTTTTAATATCTTTTAATTTATTATAAGGAATCCATTGAAGATATCTAGTATTTTCATACATTACTGTTCCAAGTTGTGTGCATTTAATCAACTCGTCAATGCTTTCATTGCCACTGGTCCAGCCCTGAGTTAGTAATTGTGGATCACATGATTGACACCATAAATACCAAGTATTATTTCCATGACAAGTTGAACATTCACCATATTTTTCTTTTATCGAAACACAATTACGAAATATATCTTTAAACGAAGTTTCTTTTTTATCAATTAATTCTAATAAATATTCTATTTGAGACATGTATTTTACTTTATAAAGTTTGAAATTAAATTATTTATTTACTGTGTTCATCAATATAGTTTTTCGAAATGAAAAAATTTTTTACTTGATAGTGTGGGCCTTTAAATATTGATAAATTTTCTAATTTTAGAAAAAAGAATTACACAAATTTATATAATGATGGGGACTCATTCAATAAATAAATAATTATTCAAAGATGAAAGAAATATATGGTATGTGTCCAACTTTTATCAAATATTTCACGGCGTGACCCACTATTATTAATTAACTCAAGGATGAACAAATGAATTGATGAAATAATTAAAAGCACACAACTTAAAACAATAATCATGATTATTTTGAATTGGTTTCTTTTCTTATAAAAAGATTTAGATTATTCGATTTATTCAAATAATAATAGATTTGATAATGCAAAAATTATGGCAGATTTTAACATAATAGAAGGATAATTCATATTTATGGATTATCACACCATTTGTTGATGGAGGTATTTAATTGTACTAAATTTGATTGGCTAGTTTCATGTTGACATGAATTTTTTTTGGCATCATTCATAGTGATAATATTCTAAATTTAGCATTATCTAAAAATAAAATAATGTTAGTATATTGGAGTATATGGTTATATAATGGTATCAAGTAAAGCTTCACCATATGATTATCTCGAGAGTTTATATTAAAGATCACTACATCGATCAGAATTTATATATAATAAATGGGAAATTTTTCTAACTTCATTATATCGATCGTACTATTCACTATTTAATGGTTCGCCATATCGAACGCCAACTGTGGAAGAAAAAGTATTATATATGTGCAACACTCCTAACAAATATTTGGAATACTCAAAAGCATTATGTATACTCTAAACACAAATACCCGAGAATACTCAAAGCATCACATATAATTCGAATATTATTATTATGTCCACAGATTTTCAAAAAAAAAACCCCCCTAAATAATTCGTGTGGATATAATAATAAAATCGAATGAAAAATCATTCGAATTCTCTCGCACTCAAATTATAGCTTGACATGGATGTTGAAGTTTATAATACACTAACGTTGAAACAAGCACAAACGGGTCTGGGACACTTTACCGACACCCACTTTACCGACAAGACACTTTACCGACAACACGCGGGGTTACATTTAATCTCTACATAATCAAACAAACTACAAAGTGCTAAAATATCACGTCGCGTGTTGTCGGTAAAGTGTCTTGTCGGTAAAGTGGGTGTCGGTAAAGTGTCCGGGTCCGTAATAACGCGAATTATAAAATGAAATTCAATCAATCAATTTTTTAAATTAACTTAAAAAATTATGTCTGGTAACAAGCGCAACAGTTTTATTTGGCAATTGATTGCGAAGGAGATAGATAGTTAATTTCTTATAAAGTACAGTTGTGGCGTATTATTTTTACGCCTTGTAAAATTAATTTGCCATTCATTTTTTTTCAAGGATCAATTATAGGCACAAAAAATGTTTCTCGAGTTTCATAAAATTTGTTTGTTTTACTTAATATATAGATAAAACAAGCGTTTTTTTCCCGTTGCTTGCAGAACTTTGTTTATTTATTTATGACATATTTTTGGTAATTATTTGTTATTATAGACGAGAACTAATTCAATCATGACATGTATGAATAGACCTTTCTGCAAAAAAAAAAAAATATAGGTTACGGTGATTATAGCTGCTGTGGCTGGCACCACGATTATTTATTTTTTTAAAACAAAATGAACAACAATCTTCGTAATAACCATCAATAAAATAATTCTATCTATTCTAATAATAATATTGATACTAACACTTTTGATGGAAATCCTTCTACCTCCAATATGAGTGATATGGATGTTGATAATTTTAATAATCCGGCAAATAACACTATTTCACATACCCGAGAAAATATTCGGTTATCTCACCAAATTGAATATATATATAATCGATTAAATCGAAATGTGAGAAGTGTTAAGATAAAATTATCCGAAATTTATAATAATATTATTAGTAGTAATAATAATAATAATAATAATAATCTAAATAATAGTGTGTATTATAATCATAATTATTAATAAGATTTTTTTAAATAAATTTTTATGACATCCCCTTTGAAAATAGGGTATTTTTTTCTCCGTACGGAGAATTTTATCATGATGTCAATGACAGTCGACGTACGACGAGGTTCAAGGAATATCTGATCATGCATGGGAAAGAACTAAAGAAAAATATCAATATAATTAGTTTTGACTGTGTGTAATTGAACTTTTTATATTCTTTTCTTTGAGATATATATGTGTTTGCATATAAAAAGAAACAGATTTTATTGTTGTGCAATTTTAACTTCTGATATTTATCTTAATTAAGCCTAACTGTGTTTTGTACCCAATATGTAGTTATCAATTGCATCTTTTTCTTTATTTGCAACTTGGCTTTCAAGAGCCCATTTCTTTAATTCATCAATAATAATAACGATATTTATTTATTTCATGAACCAAATTTAAAATAATTCCTTACGAATAATCTCTTTGTACTATTCAGTTTTTTATAAAATCTATAGATATTTCACGTTGATCTACTGCATTGTTATCAGAGATATTTATGAATTCAGCTGTGTGATAATTGAAATTGTGATTCAGCATAAATGCAAAAAAAAAAGAAAAAAATATAACTTATAATGAAAGTCAGGGAAAGGCTCGTATCAAATTCATTTGTATCATCATCACTTCCGCTTTCATTCCTACATCTGCTTTTCGCTTTCCACATTATCATCTACTAAATTCCTTATGAAGGAAACACAATATGAATAGTTGATAGAGACATAGGTAAACATACGGTATAAATGCAAAGAAAAGCATGAGGTCGTTCAAGTTTAAAGATCATTTTTTTCTAAAAATACGAGTGGGAAACAAAAATTTAAACATTTCTTATAATAAGAATCAGGAAATCACTTGTCCAATTCATACTTTTGCTTTTGACTTCCCAATATTATCATCCATCATTCAAGAAACATAACATTCTGTTGAATTCTCGTTAAATATTTTTCTAGGTGACTAGATTCACGGCGCCTCAGTTCCTATAACCACCCCGGTGTCAAATTCTAAACATTTCTTTTCTGCATCGTCCCAATACTGCATATTATGAAAGTTCCTTTCTATAACACAGAAAATATTTTCACGAGTTAAATATGTAATAAGTAAATTGCATTGTTCAAGCAATCAGCTTTTAAAAAGTAAAATATTAAATTAATAATTGATTAAGTTTAGATAAGCAAAATTATATCATTTCAAAATCTTCGGCTGCAAGTATTGCTGACTAGTAAAGCATAATTTCTCAGTTGTTTCGCATATATTTTCACTTCTTATGATGACTTGGAAGTTGGACAATCGTGTCTTTAAAAATTTGTTTTGATGGTCGTACCAGAACTGAAACTCATTCTAGAAAAACATATCAACTTCAGATCCTTCATCAATAAAGAACAATAGTCTTCCAACACCCAGATTTTCTTTTACAATTTTTATGAGGCACTGTCTGTTTATCCATCTTTCCAACTTCAGTTTCACCCACCCCTCCTATCCCCCCCTCTCAAGACATATTGTTTCTGATGAGAGCACAATACCAAATGGATAATATGATTTCTTACTATTACTATTATTCAGTGTATACCAGATCCGGTTAATTGTGTGTTGAAATTTTTCATTGGTTAATTAATCGGGTGTTGAAAATTTCCACCGAATCAATCAGCAATAATAATATAGTACATTTTTTGCTATGATGATTTAGTGGCAGGGACTTTTCGATCAATAAAGACGTGACTATATGGGGGCGTGGACAGCAAAAAGGCAAAATAATGACATAATTACATGTAAGATATTTTGCAGTTTTTTTGGGAAATGCAAGAATGAATGAAAAGTACATAAACAAAATTGCATAGCCCAAGAAATTGTGGCTATATATTAATTAAGTTAATTGGTTAATTAATTAAGTAGGGATCCAAAGAACTATTTGTTACGAGAATTATTGTATTTCTAAAATAAATAGTGAAGACAAAAATGATCATTAAATAATAACACATTATTAAAATAAATCGGAGTTGTCTAATTGTTGAAAATTTTTAAAAAATTTATCAGTTCGGTTCCATAACATAATTCGAAATTTTCTTTATAATATTAATACAAAATAAAAGACCATTAATATTAATTTATTCTGAACCAACTTTAAGGAATAAAAAGACATGTAAATAAACTTGTTGCAACTGGGCCTGAAAAAATCACATTAGAATTGTTTCTTCTTCTTTATCTTTTTCTGGGGTTTCTTCTTTCAGTGGCTTCTTTTTTTTAGATCTTCCGATTTTTTCAACCCTTGGTTCATATTCACAACTTCACTTAAAAGATTAATATTCTTATTGATTGTTCTTAATGCCCTCTGTAAAATTTTTTCTGCAAAATTGCTTATATCATATTCTCTTTTAACACTTTTGACTCCTTCTTCCATTAGTCCTCTAGAAAATCGAGAACGACACTATACTTTCTTTAGCTTTATTGTAGATTTCTTTATAATATTGATTGTATTTACCAAAATCTTTTTCTTCGCAAGTTTAGCAGTTGCAGTTTCAGGATCTCTTTTGACAAATGTAGCACATGCAATCTAAATCATCATCATAATACAATTCTTGCACCTAGAATTACTAATAAAATTTGCATCACGTATGTGACTACATCAGTGTCTGAAATTGAGTGCGGGGGTTTGTGTTACATATTGAATTTAGCCAATCAAATTTGTCCTTCGGTAGAAAATTTAACGTTGATTGGCTAAATTTCAATATGTAACACAAACCCCCGCACTCAATTTCAGACACTGGACTACATAATTTGCATTTTGAAACATATAACCAAAAAAAAAAATAAGAGCTATTCATAAAATTTTTCATGATTTTCAATATGGTCATTAATGCTGCCTCGAGACTTAATGACCTAAATATAAAGACGAATATTGTGTGTTTAAAGAAATAAATTCTTTTGTTCATCTAATAATATTGTTGCCGGTTTTGTTAGAAAATCAATTATTATTATTGATAACTCTTAAATCCTTAGATATCTTTCTCTTAAAAGAAGATAATCAGAAATTTCATCTGCTCCATTAAGACTATGGACTCTACATTCTCAAATTCCTTCCATGAAAATGAACAAATAATATTGATATAGTTCGTACACTTACTCAGGCAGACATCCATATAGAGGAAATTGACGCATTAAAACCTATATTATACAAATCTCAAACATTTGCTGTTAATTTACAATAGTGAATTAAAAAAATTAAAAGTTTAATTGATCAAAAAATAAGTATTACAATAAATGTGTCAACCGATAAAAAATAAATTTATAATATAATATGTAAAATAAAAATATCAGTACAATGTGCTCTTAAATAATAATAATCATATTATTACAAAATTTTTTTATTAACCCGAAATCAACCCGAACTCGACCCGAAAATCTTGGGTTGGCCTTTAAAACATTCGGGTTGACACTTAACCTGACCCGTTAGGAGCTTTAGATTATCCCTCTTCGATTTAATCGTTTATTATTTAACTGGTTAAGATTTACTAGTTAAAAGAAATTTTTACACGGTTCCAATCTCTACTTTTCTTAACAAATCAACGCTCAAGACACCATCAAGATGCATCTGAACATATTGACAATTTCTTTGCATTTAAACAAAGGATATTCGATTCTAATACTAATAAAAGGTTGTCGCGCAAATTTAATTTACGCGTTGATAAACAAAATGAATCATCAACTACAATATAACCGTAACTATAACAACAACATTAATGACAATAAATTATAATAATGCTGATAATTGGGTTCCATCCTAGCAAAAAGGTACTTCGGGGAAAATGGGATTTTTAAGAAATCAGATGATTTTTGTTTTTCCCCTCGTTTTTTAATCAAAATTTTAATTTTTTAAACATGTTAACTAACCAAGAATATTTTTATGATTTACTTGAACTTGATTTAAAAGAATACGGTGATTATGAAAATATTCAAGAAATTATAATTTAAAGAATTTTTTTAAAAATCCAAAAAGTTGTACTTGTCATATTTTTGAAAGACAAAAGATATTGGATTTATAAAATTTTTTCAAATTATTAATTTAGCTAATAAATAATTAGATTTGTTTTTGAAAGCACAACTTTTAGCAATAGAAATAGAAAACAAAATTTTAAATATTCCTCAGAAAATAAATTATATTCTCTTTGTAAAACAGCATTTTTAATGTTATACAATATAAGTGATCATAAATTTAAAAATATTGTAGAACACTTACAAAATGAAGGAATAAATGAACAAATTCATGGAAACACAGGAAGAGCACATATATATAAAACTAAAATCAATATTGATGAAAATTTAAAATCCATTGTAAGAAATTTTTTAATTCAATATTCTTTAATACATGCGTTACTTTCACCAATGAGACATATGAATGGTTCTGGAGCATTTATTTATCTTCCTACTGATAAAAAATTTATATCTGTGTATAAAGAATTTAAAAAATTTTAATTAGAAAATATTTTAAAAGTTGAATCAGAAAATGATTTAGAAGAAAAAAAAACTATTCCTTATACTTTTAGAAGATTATGGAATGAACTAATGCCTAATTTAAAATTTCAACCTCCTGCAAGTGATTTATGTGATAATTGTGTCCAATTTAAATCAAAATTGCAATTAACAAAAAGAAATATTGATGAATATAATAAAGTTGGAGCTGAATTTAATGAACATAAAAAAAGGCAAACTTGAACATGATCATTATAACAATAATATTGAATTAAGTAAAAATCAATTGCACATATTTGTTATGATTGGGCACAAAATGTCACCATTCCTTACTCACCTTAACAACCAGGAGCATTGTATTTTTTGTCTGGTTATGCAGTTCATTTATTTGGAGTTTGTAAAACTGAAGGAGGAATAAATAAACAATTAAATTTTTAATAGAAGATGAACTTCCTCAAGATACATCTAAAGGAGCAAATATTACTTTAAATTTGGTTTATCAAGCTCTGCAAAGAATGATAAAAAAAAATTTGCATATAACTTGTGATAATTGCTCTACAAAATAAAAAAAATTTATCCCTTCGGTTTTGGGACTTGGCCAATAATATTGGGTTGGTATGAAGAAATTACAATTAATTTTATGATCCCAGGGCATACAAAATTTATGTGTGATGCTTTTTTTGGTCCACATAAACAGAAATAGTAAGTTAATCAAATTAATGAATGACATTAAGAATATTATCAATAATTCTTCAAAAGGAAATGAATCAATACAATATGAAAATGGTTCAGGGTGGAAAAGATATAATTTGGAAAATTATTTGAAAATAAATTTAAAACTTTACCTAATATAAAACAATATCATCATTTTAGATTTAACAACCTGCCTGAAAACAAAGGAAAAGTATTTGTTTCAACAATATCTGGTGAAAAAAAATGTTTTAATCTTTTAAAAAATAATAACTTTTAATCATAATGATCCTATTAATATTATTCCAATTAATATAGATTTAAATTATATTTGTAGGAAAGATTCAAATCAATTGTAAGATTATCATTTCCTTTTTTTGACATTAGAAAATTTTGGGCCAAAGTTCGATAAATCTTTATAAGCTAATTGCACACTTTTCTATTAATTGAATGTTGGCAAAAATTATACGGTACAGATCATCTATTACTATAATCATTAATTGCTTATAGTAACAATTGGTCAACTTCAAAATATTAAAACAAAAAAAAATTATATCATTTTAGAAAATTTAACCGATAAGTTTTATTGTTCATGACTCAAGCTTCAAAACTTATCGGCTGGTTTTTTCTTAAACTGAAAATTGGCCGAGCCTTAGCATTTTGAAAATCCCGAATTTTGTTATACACTTAAGAAATTGAGACTAAGTAAATTTCGCGTAACAACTTTTCTTTCATAGAATATTTTTCTACAACATACATTTGATTTATTTGATTATTTATTTCCTTTTTTTTATTAATAAATAAAAGTTCTTTACAACAAAAAAGTTTAACGAACAAAAAAAAATCATTGCCAAATTTGATCGTAAGATCCAAAATATTGGAAAACTCTTACCACACCTACCTCGGTTACACGAGGTTTTTTTAAGAAGATTTTCTACCAATCATGGGGGTTCTGGATTGGGATTCGTGTAACTGAGGTAGAGTATTCAAAATATCGCACTTCTAAAAAATCTATGAAAAAGAAAATTTGAGACAATTTTTTTTTTAGATTAATAGACTCCCTTTTTAAAGCTGAATTGAATGGTGGCGAGTTTTTTAAAATCCAATGTGTGGATCACTTAATATTTCAAAAATTTTAACTTTTGAGTATAGATGATTCGCACTGTACCAAATTATAATCATCACCTAAAGAATATAATGGCGCGTCAATAACTCATTTTGGGGTTCTTGAGCACGAAGTACCTTTTTGCTAGGATGGAACCTAATTTATTTTCGAGTGAAGAAAATTCAATGGAAAAAAAGAATGTTTCAGAAGTTGAGAAATGGAGTATTGTAAGAAGAAAAATGAAAATGAAATAGTAAAATAATAGTTTATTCCATTAATCTTAAATTCTTTTTTTTGCTATTAAAGATTGACAAATGGCTGAAGAACAAAATATTCAGAAATAATGAGTCAATTCCAATATTTGAAAGAAATCAAGAAACAGTAGCAACGTTATACAATTTGGTGATGAATAATAAATTACAAGATGAAATGATTGATATTGTTTATAGTAAACAACAGATTCATACAAAGGAATATAACGCAGAAGGTCTTTTTAAAAATGCATTTTTTTTTTTGATTAACGAAGAGATTACTAACAAAATCATTAATATTAATCACATTAACAAAAAAAATCATTAATATGTTGTATTTTCTTTATTTAGCTAAAAGAATTAATGAAATTTTAAATATTTTAAATGTTTCAAAAAATGATTTTTCAAAAAATGGAATAAATTCCTTAAATGGATTGGTAAACTTGGCTAAAATATTAGAATTAGCTGATGCCCAAAAAAGCAGGTAATGATAACAAAAGATTATTACTAGAAATATGTAAAATATTGAATTGACATTTTTATTATGTGATACGCGTTTACACATGCAATCAGTTATTTGTCATCATTAGCAAAATTAAATTTGGACTATTCGAGAATAGAATGTGAAAATAACAGATTAACGCGTTCAATTGATTCAATAAAAGGTCAAATCAATAAAACTATTAAAAGGAATGAAAAAAATGAAAAGTAATAACAATTCTTTTATCCCACAGCAATTATAATTAATACAATGCTAATGTAATGTAATTATCAACAATTAATAACTTTATAATTTTATATAGTTTATTGGACAGGCTGAGAAATGAATGGAATTCAAAAGATCAGTTATCATTAAAAGAATATGAAAAGAATATGGAATTGCTTGAGTTAAAGAAATCAGAATATCAGAATAAACAAATTGAACTCGAGGTAATAAGTTTAATACGGTGGATTCTACTCCTCCAGTAAATATTGTATTGAATTTTTAAATGATGCTATATATTATTATAGAAGGAGTATTTATCTACAGGTGTTGAGGAAGAAAATTTACGGATTAATGAATTAAAACGAAAAGAACAAGAATTAATTATGTTGGAGCAAGAGATTAGGAATAAACGTGAAAAATTAAAAGCCTATCAAGAAATGCCACCTGTATGTATAATTTATATATATGTATTTATTATAATATGTTGTATATGTTTACGAATGTGTGATTTTGTTAATGTATCTATGTTTTTATATTTCTCTCCCCCCTCTCTCTCTCTTTCTGATTAATCGTTGTAGGATCTTACATTAGCTAAATTAGCATTAGAAAAGGCTAAAATTAAATTGGTAAAGATTATTGTGATAATAATTTATAATCATCAGGTTATTATTAATTTTTTTTTGTTCATTTAATTATAGGATACGTTGAAAGAAGAACGCCAAGAATTACTTAACAGGATCGCAGAACATTTTCAATAAAATCTTATAAAATTTTTTATTTATTATTCTCTATATAATAATAACTATTAAAATAAAGAAAAGTAATAATAATAATATAATGATAATCAAATCATATATATATAAATAATACATGTATTTTTTTAAAAAAAATGATTCCCTTAAAAACTAACTAGAAGAATTTGAGACTATGATAAATTCCGAATCGAGAATCATTAGTGAGTGTGGAGTGAATGAATGAATGAATGAAATAAAAGCAAAAAAATCTACATAGAAAACTAATAATATATGAAAATGTATATATAATAAATAATTATAAAATATTAAATATATATGTATATATAATATATATATTTTTTTTTTTTGAGATTTAGTAAATTTAAGGAACCATGTAGTCTAAGAGAAATATTTCTCAAGGAAGGTTTTATTTTCAACTTTCTTTTCTCTATTTTTCTTTTAAAAAAACCAAATATACAAAGATGAATGATGATAAATCTTTTTAAAAAGTCTGTCCAATCCAACATTATAAGATTGAACTAATTCACCGTCAAATTTTGTTGATATTTAACTTGATTATTCAATAGTATCAATGCATCATTATCCTTGTCACCACTATTACTATTATTGTTGTTGATTTGTTCGAGATATGATTTCTTAAACATAAGATTAACTTTCTTATGAATAGCATCGATCAATTTGGCATATTGTTTTAATTTTTCATCATCAATTGTAGGCGCTGCAGTTGTGATTGATGTGGTGGTGGTTTTCGTTACTTCTTCTCTATTCAAATTCAAGCTTGCAATACCATTAATTAAATCACCAACATCATCTTTATTATTGACATCCTTCTTCTTAATATTATTTTTATTGCTTGTATTATTTACAGGTCCGGCCATTAAATTACTCAAACCGGCCTTTCCAATCATTATATCCGTAAACCCATTTCCAACATCATTATCACTATTTTCAATACATTCGACTTTAATAATATTATCTTTATTGTTGTTGGTAGTAGTATGAGGTGCTTCAATCTTAATTTTGCTATCAATACCAAGTGCCTCTATCTTCTTATCATGAGGTGATCGCTGTAAATTTACCATTCGGTGAGTATTATTTAAAAGGTTAGAATCCTCACTATTCATATAAACTGACATATTGAAAGGATCGATAGGATCGAGGTATTGTGATGATGACGACGAATTAGAGTCATTTGTTATTGGTGGAAAACCAGGAGCGGTACCATAAAGATTTTGTTGACCGGTGGAAGGATGTGATGATGGCCAACCATTAACACTATCTTCTAAAGGCGGACTTGGAATTGCATTATCAGCTGGATTATAAAGATCAGTTTGCGATGGTATAATATTTGGTGGCAATGTGTCAGGAAAAAGATTATCCATAACTAAATCATTATAGATTGGAGTAAAAGCATCAGGTTGCAAAATAATTGATGCTAAACCACTATTACTATTACTATTACTATTATTGTTATTGCTGTTATTGTTGAAAACGATAGCAGGTTCAACCAAAATTATTCCTCCAGCGTTATTTTGATTGTTATTGATATTTTGTGAAAGTTTCGAAAAGAAGTCGTTGAATTGATTTAAATCATCCTTTGTTGAGAACGAAGGAGGCAAAGTTGAAAAACCATCATCATCATCATTGTTGCCGAACAAACCATCAGATATATCTTCTAATTTTTTCATTAATTCTTGGCTGTACTGTGGTTCGAGACGTTTGCGTTTAACATCTTGATAAAATTCATCCAATAATACATCAACGCTACGTTTCTGTTTTTGATGTCTTGAACGATCATTGTTGCTTAAATGGTGATGAGTGTAACTATTGTTGATGCTATGACTACGACTGTGATTATTATTGTGATGACGGTGATTAAGAGAAATATTAAGTGGATTTGAAGTTAAGTCAAGATTGGCAGCAGCTAGCTGATTGTGATTTAAAGTCCAGTAATCATGACTTAACTCCAATGTGTTATTATCAGAAGCAATTGGATGAGTGTTTGGCGAGAAACCCAGCAAATCAGAAATGCCACTATTGGCTGGAGATAAAGGAGGATTTCCGGGTGAAGAGACGGAAGAAATTGTGGGAGAAGAATCAGAGATTGAACAGTATAATGGTGGTGTTGGCGGATGGAGAACCTTATTTAATCGAAGATTTTTATTCATTGTAATTTGCTGTTGATGTTGATCAGTATGAATTTTCTCATGTTTCTTTAAGTCCTGTGGACGTTTAAACGCTTTCTTACAAGTCTAAGAATTAGTTAATAAATTAGAAATATTATATCAAAAAAAAATTATTATTAAGGAATCAATATTAAAAGATACATACGTCACATATATGCGGTTTCAACGGTACGTGGACCCTTAGATGACTTGTAATATGATCTCGTTTGGTTGTTTGAACTTCGCATCTATCCCAATGACAACTTAAGCAAAGATTTCCAGTAGATTTTCTTCCAACATGATCATTAGCCAAATGATTATAAAGCAGTTCGGGCTCTTCGAAAGATTTAGAACATTTGTCCCATAAACAGACCAAATCTTCAGTAATATTCTTGATAGTTGGTAATGTTGCTAAAGCCATGTTTTGTTTTTTTGAATTTCAAATCAAGAAGAACCAATGATTGTTATTTATAATATGTACGAGTGTGTATATATGTAAATAAATAATAAAGGATTTTGAAGAATTTTATTTTTTCAAGAAATATAGAATGAATTCTAAAAGCCTTCCAGAGGTTTCTTATATATGAATAATAAAATATATAAATGTAATTGTAGCTAAGAATATATAAAATTTTTTTTGGACAAGCGTTAAATTTTGGTTCTATTTATAAATAAAAAAAAAAAAGTCAAGAAAAACACACATTTATTATTTAACCAAATTTATGTTGTAAAAAATTATGAAAAAAAAACGGACAAAGATTTCTTACCAGGAAAAGCAGCGAAGAAAATAAAAATAAACCACAAAGGGCCAAGAAAAAAAATGGATTATATAATAATAAATAGAAAGTCATATGATTTATGATGTAAATTTGAAAATGGAGAAATTCTAGAATTATTATTAATAGTAAAAATAGTAAGCTTGGCAATTAAAAATCTATAAATATATATACACACACTTGGCAATATATGATTCAAAATCATTGGAAATCATTAAATCGAAGATGAAACTAATTAGAATAATTTGATTGTAATTCATATAAATATTTGAATTAATAAAGACTTGTGTAAATTTAAATCCCAAAAAAAAATTACTTAAAAATTTTTAATTGATGATCCGTCTATGAGTGAAACTTGCTGCGGAAATACTAACCTACGTCCCAAAGTAATGATTTTTTTTTCAATACAAATAAGCAAAGAAAAAAAATCTATGTCAATAACCTTTGAGTTTTTTCCTATCTGCAAAAAAAATTATCTGGTAGGGCAGGAGCATAATTTTTCACACAAACATAAAGGTCAATTCTCCTCCGTCGATACTATGAATATGTCAATCATTTCGCTGATTCATAGGGGCGAATCATCAATTAAAAAATAAGCATTATGAACATATTCCTATTTAAGATCTGATCTACAAGGTTGTGTAACTTCTGAAAGTGGTATTGAGCGTATTTTAAACTAATGGACATGAATATTTTAATTAAAATTCATATTAATAAAAATTTTTTTTTCTTTAACTCAAAAAGTTTACAAACTTCTTTTTTATGGAATTTTTTTCAATCAATATAATATCAGTATATTATATACGTATTATTTAAATAAATAAATATTAATTGTAAAGCTCGATTAACGAAAACTACTTATAATAACATCATCAATATAATTATTGTTATCGTTATATATCAATCTATTATATAAAAAATGCCAAAGATTGCACATCAGTCTCTTTCGGAAAGGCTTATTACACTTGTCAAGGTATTACTACATATATGTTTACGTACATATAGTTTATTAATATGTTTTTTTTAGAAGATTATCATTATTGCAACAGTAACATTGGTAATAATTAATTTATATTATTTCATTTTTTGATTATTACATTATTACATTTTTTTCCTCTCTCCTCCTCCCCTCTTTATCAACCGTCATTATTTATAAATAGCATCCACAATTTACTTGGTGGTGTGGACATCTTATTATGCTATTTTGTACATTTTTTTATTGTTTTAATTGGATCACTTTTAATAGTGAACGGGCAGCTTCCTATTACTACATAGCATATTTGGGTTCTATGTTAAGTTATGGCGTGGTTGTTTATAAAGTATCTGGTGTAAGTATTGTTATGTGCGCGTGTGTGTGTGTGCGCGAGAGAAATCAATCTATTAATCAAGAAAATGATTAATGGATATTATTAATTTATTAATTACTTAATATTTTATAATTACACTAAATAATCATTAATTAATTAATAGAAACCAAGTTTAAGTTATGAATATTTAAGAAAAATCAACAAAGATGAAAACATCTTTTATCTTATTTTGGCATTAAATTGGTACTTCAATACACCAGTTACAGGTATTTATTTAGAATATATTATGGAAAAAATTTTCAGCGCACATTTACTTGTTCACTCTTACCACTTCTAGTTCTAATGTTTTTTTGAATCCACCAAACACAAAATATATTTTATAGTTACACTTTTTCCATACGCAACATTTTCTTTATTCCATTTTGTAACGTATCTACGTCTAAATATTCTTACAACATTTTTCCCACCACCATCAACACCTCCTCAATCATCTCCATCTCAACCCAGAGCATTATCGATCACACCTGCTCATCAATGGGCAATTGATTTGTCGAAATGGATTTCTCTCTGGGTCCAAAATAATCATGAGCCTGCAATGAAATATGTCAGTCTTGTTGAAGTGGTTGTAATTCCTTTGACTTTACTTTGGAATGTCATAACGTATGTATCATTATTAAAGATGTATATGTATTTTATGAGAATTATTATTTACTAATGATAATAACAATTATAATGATAATAATAATAATAATCTAACACATCATATTATTCCACAACACCGCCACAACACCGCCACAATATAATTTCATTTGTAATTAATTAGCCTCCAAAGCAAGTTTTTTACGTTATTTGTTTACGTGATGTTTCTTCGTGTGAAAATCCAAATGAGTAAATATACGAAACAAACATTTAATGATGTTGGTAGCTACTTGGACAACAAATTATTACCACCAACTGCCAGCAAGAAGATTCCACCTTATGTAACATCAACTTATAAAAAGTTGAGAGCTTTCATTATCGGAGCTGGTCAATACAATCCCCAGCATTCTTTTAATACGAGACAACATCAACAGTAATGCTATTGAGAGGAGAGGAAGAGAAATATATATTTGTGTATATATATATAATGTAATTAAATTTTGTGTGTAGATGTTGTGAAATTGATGATATATATATGTATAACATCTTTCTCTCATCTCGATTATTTTGTATAATCAATCAATCAATACTATTATTAATATAAATAAAATAAAAAAATCAAATTTAATGACAATAATAAATAAAAAAAATTTTTCTCTAATAAATTGATCAACAGAAGATAATCTTTGATTTTTAAAATTTTTTTTCACCAATAATTTAAGATTATAATGAATTAAAATAATTTTTTACGAAATATTAGTCGTGCAGCTCAAACTACACGAACAGAGAGACACTGACTGGCATAGCAATATTTTGGATATTTGGAATATCGACAAAAAAAGCAAAAAAGAATATCTACTATAGTGAAAACTAAAACTTTGACTTCTTTGTGTTTATAAACGTGTATTATAAACAGTTAGATTTTGCTAGGTTAATTTAAGAAAATAAACTCAAGCGAAACAGTTAAAGGATTTGTCACTTGAAAAGATAAAGTTATCAAATAAGTAAATTAGAACAAAGAACAGTCTAAACAATTATTATATAACTGACAATGGTCAGTTGTGATAATTTAAAAATTTTTACTTGTAGAAAGAAATAAATCTTTGTCATACAGAAACGATGAATTTGCTCTTCTTTTACCCGAAATATATTTTAAAGAATTTATTAAGGCCACGACAAACAATAATTTCTTTTTAAAGAAACAAAATAATAAAATTTATAATGAAGATTTAGATCTTATTATCGAACTAGTAAACTGTTATTTGCTGGGCAACTTTGTCGCTTTGGAGTATACTTTTATTTATTGTTGTTTTAAAGAATGTATTTAATAAAAAACTTGTTTTGTTGACGAATTGAATCTAGAATAAAAATGGGGTTCTCCTTGATATTCGCAAATGCAAAATCGTTGTTCTTATTACATTAGTGCGGAGACTATTTTCTTTCGTTTGGTATATAATAAAGTTGGTAGATTTTTTTTCTAGTACATAGTAAAAAAAAAAAAAAAGTTATTCTATTTTAATCCAATTTATTAAATTCCTTAATGTTAACGTGATGTGAACTTGCGATGCCGAAATTTCAGGATTACTTTAAAAAAAAAAACTACCATTAAAAAATTGTTAATTAAAGGGAGAAGAAAGAGGACAGTAAAGGCTATCATCATGGTCAAACCTTGTTTCAAGGACGCATAAACAATTGCATCTAAAATTACTAAACATGTTTCAACGAATTTTATATGTGACGCTGATGCTTTAAGTAGGGTGTCCACAAAAAGATTAGACGATGGAGAGGATGCAAATTTCCAATACAGGATTTTTAATGTAGATGAATAAAATCTGCTGAAGATATACTGTTACAATTGACACTTTTGTGTTGTTTATAGGAAGGCTCACATTGCATCTTCAACTTGTTTACAAGTTTTATTTGAAGGACAAGCTGTTGGATTTCTCATATTAACAAGATACTTTACTATTATCAATACTGGCACTGAACCATATGTTGAAATTCATGTTTGGTAAGTGATTAATTTTATTTAGTGAAAAAAAAAATTCAAATTCATAATCATATCCGAATTATCAAATATAGAACCCCAAAAAATATAACTCTTGCAAATGGTATTAGTATGTATGTCCCATATACTAAATCCTTTTTTGGAGTGTGAATGGTTTTAAGCATTGGTATTAACACTTATATAATACCAATACTGGACATCCATATACTCGTAAAAAAAATTTTATTATTTAATATACAGTATATATCGTTTAATATCGTTAATATTAAAAAATAAAAAACACATTAAAAAGATTAGAATTATTAAATGTATAAAGAAACAATATCAGGTGACAATCTTTTTCTGTTGACGTATATGATTACCAACATCAGAAAATAACCGTGCTTGTACTTTTTGACACGATAATTCATTTTTTTGTTGATTCTACAGTTCCTTGATGCTCTTGGCAAATTAAAATATTTTCCTGTTCCTGTTCAAATTCTTGCAAATCATAAATGTTTTTGTCTATTCTAAATGGTAAATTCTGGCTTCTGTTAAAAAATCAATATAACAACAAGAAGAGGAAGAATAAATCAATAATCAAACTCGTGAATTTCATTAAATATGAAGGAGTGGACCAATCAATAGTGGTGGTTTATGTTCCTTCTTTCACCTTTACTCTCTTCATATAATTCCACTTTCACCTTTACTCTCTTCATATAATTCCACTTCACCTTTATTACTCTCTTCTAACAATAATGGTGGATCATCTTGATTTCTCATTGTAATTAACCTTTCCAAAACATTTTTTTTAAAAAAAAATTAGCAAAGTAACTAAAGATAATGTAACGAAACACCTACTGCTTAGTGTTGATGTTATTGCATCAAATTGTTCCAATGTTTCAACAAGTTGTTTTATTAAATGCTATTCACTACCATCTAACAATCTCTTTTAATATCATATAATAATAGCTTTCTCAAGATCAAATAGCATTACCCATGAATGCTAAGTATTATTCCAACGTGTAGCTACATCATATATATTGGTACTGCATTTATGGAATGCGGTCGGCGAAAATGATATAAAAATTTGTTAACATGCTTAATAGGGTTCAAACGTTGTACATCATATTGAAACAAAAATGTTCGCTAGAGGATCTTTAAATGTGGACCCTAAATTGTTCAAAAGATTGGACCAAAGCCTGATTAATAAAATCAGTTAAAATAACCGGTTAAAAAGTCAGTTCAATGGCATTTTGGATATATCAAGCTTTGTCCATAATTATTATGATTTATCAAGGCATGTAGTCAATTCAACCACGGCACAAGCGCAAAAAACCTTAAATTCATATAGTATAAATCAATATTAACTCTTTTAATGGGTTTTTTAACTATTCAATTAGCAATTAGCAAGGTGTCATACAGGATAATAATTTCATAATTTTTTTGAAAAAGGAAATATTAGGTAAGTAAAGTCTGGACCAATACAACACCACACAATATCCACATGCCTATATACTTCTTTCGAAAAAAAAAAATACTTGTTGACAAAAATTCCATTTTGAAGATACATTCATTGTCTATATTTAGTATTTTACAATAAGAATTTGTGATAAAATTTAATCTTTCAAAAATAATTGCAATTTAGGAGATTGGCTGAACAATGGATTGTATAATAAATAGATATAGATAATCAAATAAATTTGTTCCCAATTTTATCAATTATTTTCTTTAAAAAATGAACGAAAATACTCCATTATTAAATAATAATAGTAGTAGCAATAGTTCCTCCAATGCCAACAATTACAATACTGACTCGGAGCAACTACAACAATTGCAACAAGATAGACATAAAAGAGGTGTATTTATGAAACCAAAAAGTTTATCGTTTACAAATACACCTAAAAGGAATAAAAAAAAGAAAACCAATAGTATAAGTAAAATGCCAAATTTAATACCACCAGTTCATGTGGGTCCAGGTGGTGGTGATGATAATGAATATGATGAAGCTTGGGTGCAAAGGCAGAAAGAATTCATCGAACAAGCTGGAATAAAACCAAGCTTGAAAAAAAGAATAAAGTTTGAAATGGATACTTCAAAAAAAGGAAGATATTGGGAATTATTTGATGCTATCATGACAACAATATTTATTCTTTTATATATTTGGGTAAATTTCGAAATTAATTACTCTTTTATATATTTGGGTAAATTTTGATTTTTACTTTACGAATTTACGAAATTAATTAATTTCCAACTAATTCCTTCACGCAAAGAACACTCAATATGTAAAAATCGATCAACATCCAATACCATATCCTCGAATTTATCAAAATGCAGATTGCATTATTGCTTGTATTATTTTGGTTCAATATCTTCCTCATATATGGCTTTCAGACGAACCTTTACAAAGTTTTATCAAAGTTTTTTCAATACTTACTTGGCTATCAGTGTTCCCGGTGATTGCAGCCTCTATTCTAACAATATTTGATGATGAAATTGATAATACTTATATGGGAGCTGGAATTTTGGTAGATAATTTATTTGGGAAAAAGGAATTTTACTTTTTTTAGATGATAATTATTATTATTATTATTATTATTATTAGGTTTATATTTATCCAGTAAGATTCATTAGACTTCATTGGTCTGTATCAATAATTTTTATTCCCGTTAAAAGTTCGTTACTAAACCTAAATAAAATTACAAGGAAAGCTGCACAATTAAGTAAGTTGTTCCTCTTATTCCATTTAAAAAATCCTCACAAAATAATATTCAAAAAAAATTTTTTCACCAAATAAAAACATCCAGTTGCTACTATTTTATTTACTTTCCTTACGATAACTGCATTCATTCATATTGTAACTTATAAACAATATGGACATCACGACAATGTTGAACATTTGAGTTTTATGGATACTTTTTTTTTTACAGTAGGTAAATAAATTGTGCAAATAAATAAATAAATAAATAATTAGTTGTTTATTTATTTATCTATTATTAATTAACAATTAATCAATTAATATTTTTCATATTAGTGAGCTGGTAAATAAATAATTATTAAATTAATATCTCTCGGATACACACTTTTCTTTTGTCAATAACTATATATATTTATTTATAATGTATATAGTACAAATGGAATGTCAACAGATTTAGTACCAGAAAATGCCTTTACTCGAATTGTGATATTGTATGTTATGGTAGCAGGTGCTATATTCCTTCCCTCGAATCTATCAGAACTTCTTGACCTTATTAGGCAAAAATCCAAATATTCTCATTCATATAAACCTGAATCTAATATAAAACACATTGTTGTCACTGGAGGTTTTGATGAAACCAGCTTGTATGAATTTCTACGTGAATTTTTTTGTCAAGATCATGGTTTGGCCACAATGAGTACTGAAGTTGTTGTGTTAAATCATGAAGAGGTAATTGATTGAAAGATTGAAAGTATAGGAGGAATAGAATGAGAAAATTATACTGAAAAGAATTAACGGAAGAAGATTAAAATGGAAGGATGGATTATATTGGAAGAAAATCAAATCACTTAATTTTATTTATCATTTATTTTTATTTTATATTGTAATAACAGCCAGAAGAGAATATTGCATTATTGCTAGAAGATCCTGCATTTACAACCAGAGTACAATATGTTAAAGGGTAGATTTTATGAAGAAAATAAAGTAATAATTTTTAGAATTATTTAATTAAATAAAATACCTATATATTTCACAGGTCAGCAACTTTACGTCGAAGTCTTGAAAAAGTTAGGATTGATATTGCCAGTGCAGTATTCCTATTATCTAAAAAATTTTCTAAAAATGATGATGAAGACGATGCAGCACAAATCTTAAGAGCATTGGTAATTAATTTTAATGGGTTATTTATTTTAAAAAGGAAAATTTTATTGATTTTTTTTTTGACTTATTTTTTAATATTCAATTCAAACTAAAAAGGCTATTAAAAAATATAATAATAAAATACCATTATATGCTCAAATCCATTCACCTGTAAATGTACCACATTTTGATTTCTTGGGTAATTAAATATTCTATTTGCAAGTCTTTTCGCAAAAATTATTTAAATGATTATTAATTAATATTAACTCTTTCTCCAAAAATATACTAGCCAAAGATATAATTTGCATAGATGAAATAGCCATGGGATTAATGGCTCAAAGTTTAATAATTCCCGGTTTCTCTTCACTCATTGTATTGTTGACAACTTCTATCACTAAAAAAATAGCAAATAAATTAACTCGTAGTGCAAAAAAGAAACAAGGTAAAATAAATAAATAATAATGATAGTAACAATGACAATATAAATATACATTTATAATTCTTATATATTTGATTGATTGATTGATTAATAGAATTGCATTGGGCAGTTGAATATATTTCTGGGATTAATCAAGAAATTTATGCTGTGACATTTTCAAAGGATTTTATTGGTAAAACTTTTCTAGAATGTTCAAAACTAGTTTATAATCGACTAGGGGCAGTTTTATTTTCAATTGGAATTTATAGAATAGCACAAAGTTCCAAGGAATCATTTAAACAATTACCACCAAGTGCCTCACCATTTCAAATATTTTTAAATCCGCAAGATTATGTCATAGACGGAAATGAAATTGGTTTTGTAGTTTGTGGTAATGCTGAGATAACTGTTAAAATGGCACAATTTGTTGAACATGTTCAAATCCCCTACTATTACAGAGGCTTGTCTTATATTACTCAGTCTGCACGTGATTTATTTACAAAGAAAAACGGTAAAAGTAGTAACATCAATGATACACCAACTGAAAATAATTTGGAACACACAAAATTACAAATTCCGGCTGCTAGTTATATATTAGATGATGATGATGATGATGATGATGATGATGATGATGATGATGATGGAGAATCATCAAATATCCCAGCTTCAAATGTAATTGATTCAGAAATAGTAAGAAATAATATAAATAATGCAGCTGCTTATTGTTTTAATGAAAAATCAGAAATTCCACATGTTACGGATCATGTTTTAATTTGTAATCACAGCGAAGATTTTCCTGTTAACCTTGACATCTTTATGATGGTTCTTCGTGGAAAAAATTCTAACATCAAAGACGCACCAATAGTTATCTTATCTCCTAATGAACCTGACGATTATCAAAAAAGGTCTTTGTCAAAATTTAGTCCTGTCTATTTTATTAACGGATCTCCTTTAAAAAGAAAAGATTTGTATAAAGCAAGAGTTCATTATGCAAAAAAATGCGTTATATTAAGTGATTCCCTTAGATATGAAGAGTAAGTCAAACTTTAACAATATGAACTTTAGAAAAAGTTAAATGATATATATAATTAAATATATATATATACACACACATATAAGATCTTCTAACGGAACTGCAGATGCTGCCTCGATAATGATTGCTTTGAATATTGAATCCATGGCAGCACACGAAGAATGTTTCGTGATTGTAGAGTGTATTTATCGTGAAACATTTAAGATGATTGGTGAAAGTGATTCTGTAAAAAATAAACAAGATGATAATGGTAGTATTAAACATTTCTTTTTTTAATTAATAATAACGTCTCAATAATCATCATTATTATTATTACAGTACAAGCACTTTTACGACCATCCTTTATGAGTGGAAATGTATTTACACCTAGTAATTTAGATACTTTACTTTGTCAATGGTAAGTAAGAATAAATTATCACAAATATTCAAAAAAAACCAATTAATTAAAAGATTTATATAATTACAATTATACAAATAGTTTTTATAATAAACACATTCCAGTTATTGTAAAGCGTCTTATATTCAGTCATGATCCTGGTAATAAAAAGTTAACTCCAAAAGTTACTAATGTTCAAGATAATGAATGGCAAAGTTTAAAAATTGGATCTGGTCAAATGTTTCAAATTGATGTCCCTTCTTCATTTTTTGGTAAAAACAATGTATTTTAATAATATTATTATTATTCATAGTTAAATTAATTTAATTATATTTTTTCTCCCTCAACATTATATAGGCAAGGAATATCATTTATTTTATGATTTCTTGATTCAAGAACATAAAGCTGTGCCATTAGGACTTTACAGGCTTACTCAACATAAAGGTGGTCATCTAAGATACATTTATGTCAATCCTAAAGCTGCTACAATCCTTAGAGATGATGATAGAGTTTACATAATCTCTGATAATGCTCCTGATTTTAAATAATTTCAATGATTTATTGATTTATATATTTATTTATTTATTGATTTATTCATTTATTCATTTATTCATTTATTTATTTATTTATTTATTTTATTCATTTATTACATGATTGTTTGCAAAAAAAAACAAATCATTGATTTAATATTCTTCTAATACTTACTAACAAAATGAGGCATAAGTGATATATCGTGTAACAATTAAGAGATTTTTGTACATGGCTAATTCATACATAATGGCGAAAGTCACTTAATAAAATTTGAAAAAATCACAAGTTTTCGAAATCGAAACACCCTTGGCGAAATTAATATTAAAATCGAAAATCTAAAATCGAAATCGAAATTCAAAATTGAGCCAACTATAGTGGTTAAAAGTTGGTCAAACGATTAATCACTGACAAATACAAAATATTTTACAATGCGTTTGCCTCTTCAGCAGGTATTAATTAATCAAGAAACAACTTTGATTCAATAAAGATGAATTATAAGATTTTATTAATTAATTTAATCACACAAAATTGAGAGGATAGATTGATACTTTACTTTATAACAAAAGATAAATAATATTATTATTTTCTTAACGATATATATACAGTATGTTGCAAAAAAAAAAACGGTTGTCAAAAAACTTTTTATAATATTACTAAAAATTCATCAACTAGACTCAAATAAATTTTCAAACAAAACTTTGCCTTTTTAATCATTTAAATCATTTTCTAACTGAATCTGGCAATTAGCGGTGGAGTAATTTGCTTTTAAAATTCACAATATGGTTGAATTTTACTTGCTTTTTTGCAATTATGTTATTAGAATAAATGAGATACATTTACCTAATCAATATACCAGGTTGCTAACACTCTATTCTCAAATAACTATTTCAATATTAATAAGTTGTATGAAACGGGCGGTGTGACTTATAGGAGAGTTAATCGTTCGAAGAAACGGAATCACCTTTAGAATCACGTGACATATCACAATTTATTATGTACTAGATTTCTTAAAAATTTTGGTAATCAATTATAAATAATGTGATAGAAGTTAAAATTTAAAGATGTAGACGATTCATCTTAGAAAACTCCTGATTCATTTCTAATTAATTTACTTTGATAAAAAAATCAAGATGTCAGCCTTTAATTAAAATCAATAGTGAAAGCATTTCGTATTAAAATATATTCAATAAAAGTTCTGCCCTTAATCTATGCAACACATTGTATATAAGTGGCAATAGTTCAGGCATAGCAGCTAAATTAGGAAGAATATCGATAAAACCTGACTTACATTAATACTTTATATAAAAACAATCTACTTAAAGTGATGGTGGTTGAACATGCAATAGTAAAGATTTTTGAAAAAAAACATAAAAAATATTCAACTCATGAAAGCAAACAATAGTATTATTGTTAATAAAAAAAGATGTCTTCTAAAGAAAAATATTACAAAAAAGTTTTTTTTTTGTTATTTTTCAATTTAATTCTAAAACTTGAAAAAAAAATGCTACAGTCAGGACGATGCTTTGATAAAACGAATATACACGATAAACCGATTTTTTTATTACCTATCCACCTATTAAATTTATCTATATGAATTCATTCACTTCGGTTTAACGAGTTCGCTGGCTGGCAACACACTAAAATTATTCTAAAAAGAATTGACGTCAGCTAACTCAACCAACATCTTTGACAATAACTAATTTTCTTAGACAGTTAATAAGATTAGCAACAAACAGGACGATTTTGAAGAAGATGAACAAGTATTAATAAATGCTAGTGAAGTTTTGGAAACTGTCTGGATATAAACTAGTTAACTTGATTCATATTAGTGTCACGCGTAACCAATAAAATGCTTTACCTCCCTCCAGACCAGGAAGGAAGTTACGTAACAGCAATATATAATAATTTCGAAATTAATAAATATTCTTGATTTTTTTTAATTTTACAACTATTACTTATGAACAATTTACTTTCGGACAAAAAAAAGGAAAAGTAAATAAAACATATATTTAGTAAATAAATAAAGCAAATAAAAATAAAATGGTTACGCTTGAAGATAAACAACTTTGGGAAAAAGCTAACGAAGAAGGTTTGGAAGAACTTGGACAAGAAATTTTAAGATCTAGTACTGAGGATATAAATAATCGTACACGTTTGCTTGACAACGAAATCAAGGTTATTATTGTTATCATCATTATAATCATCATTCATCATTATATTAATTGATTGGTTGATTTGATACTTTTCTTCTTTGAATGCTCAACTTGCACAAATTCGTGATCATTGACATCACTATTTAATTAACCAGATCTTAAAATCCGAACATGCCCGTTTAACACACGAACGAAATAGCATGAAAGAAAGAATAAAGGATAATGAAAAAAAAGTAAAAGTTAATATACAATTACCATGGCTTGTTAGTAATGTTGTTGAGGTTAGTTTTATATTGATTTGATTACTTTAGATCGATTGTAATTATTCTAATTAATTTATAATGTATATATAATATATATATATTAACCCAAGATATTAATGAATTATGGTTATAATTAATTATTAGTTGCTTGATATGGATCCAAGTGATGAACCAGAAGAAGATGGTGCAAATATAGATCTTGATGCACACCGTAAAGGAAAGTGTGCCGTGATCAAGACATCTACACGACAAGTAAAATTTAAACTATTTTTTTTTTTAGATTTTCATTGTTTTTTTATAAACCATTAAAAATAGTTTTTATTTTAGACTATTTTCTTGCCTTTAATTGGTCTTGTTGATCCCGCAACCATCAAACCAGGTGACTTAATTGGTGTAAATAAAGATAGTTATCTAGTATTAGACACATTACCAGCGGAGTAAATTGATTTATTTTATTTATTATTTTAAAAAAAAAATAATGATAATAAATTATTATTCGTTTATAGATATGATTCTCGTGTTAAAGCTATGGAAGTTGATGAGAAACCAGCGGAAGATTATAATGATATCGGTGGCCTTGATAAACAAATTGAAGAATTGGTAGAAGCTATAGTGTTACCGATGACGCATGCAGAAAGATTTAAAAATTTGGGTATAAAACCACCAAAAGGTAATCTTTATTAGAGAAGAATGATGATGATAATATTTAAATCATAGATTAATGTTCTTCAAATTGATTAAATTAGGTGTTCTTATGTATGGTCCTCCTGGTACTGGCAAAACATTGCTGGCAAGAGCTTGTGCTGCACAAACCAACTCTGCATATTTAAAATTAGCTGGTCCACAACTAGTACAGGTAAATAAATAAAAATCATAATCATGCTCAATATTTTATTTATATTTTATTGCTGCTGTTATTAATACTGTCATTATTGTTATTAGATGTTTATTGGTGATGGTGCTAAACTTGTACGTGATGCATTTAATTTGGCTAAAGAAAAGGCACCTGCTATTATTTTTATTGATGAATTGGATGCTATAGGGACAAAAAGATTTGATAGTGAGAAAAGTGGTGATCGTGAAGTGCAAAGAACTATGTTGGAATTGTTAAATCAACTTGATGGTTTTAGCAGTGATGAAAGAATTAAGGTTTCATATTTATTAATTATTTTTTTTGCCAAGAAAAAGTATCATATATATAAATATATTAAATATCTATTTATTTATTTAATTGTTAGGTAATCGCTGCTACAAATCGTATTGATATTTTGGATCCTGCACTTTTACGATCTGGTGGTGTTGCTGGTTAAATAGAATTCCCCTTACCAAATGATGGAGCTGTAGT